ATTATTCTAGTCATATAACTTTAAAAAATTGAAGCCTTAGAATTACATGACAACAATGACAAACTCTCCCATCTGTCTTTCTGAGAGAGGAGGCTCCATCATCTCCTGAAGCAGAACACACCCGTGATTAGCCCAAGACTAAGAAAGGCCTTCAAATATGATGAGAGGTACTTTGATAATATACCTCCTGCTCCCAGGGAAATAAATCTCAGAATTCTAGAAGAGAAAGCAGATTGAATATTTCATTTCTAAAAAGTGATCTGTGTTCAAGCAAAATAAAAAGAAGTAAATGGTGCTTATACTCCCTCTGGACAGAGAGAGTAAATATGGTAAACAAATGACTATATGATGGCATGATCAAGAAAGATTCCCACAGCCTTCCAAAGGAAAGGGCAGAATCTATGTAAATAGTGAAAGGGGCAAAAGTACTTAAGGAGGAGGGATGAAGGATGTGGCAGGTAAGAATCACTTGGTATGTTGAGAGAACAATGATCCTTAAGAATTTAAGAATCCTTAGGAGTTGATTTGATGCCACTCCTCCTACAACCAAATTTTTCTTGAAGAGCATATTACCAAGATAGTATATATCTTAACCATAATTATTTTATTGTAAATGAGCTGAAATAAACTCTATTGCAAATGGGATTTGAATAGCTTGAAGATAAGAGCAGGTTTTGGTCCCTCACCTTTTGTCTCTGGGTGTACCATTAGCTTATAAAATTTGAAATATTAGGCTGATTTAAAAAAATTAAAAATATATGGAATAAATTCATGTGACAGTTCTGTTTATGGGCCTTCATTTACAAGAAATAAACAAGTATCTATGGATCATTAATTAAAACTAAGCAATTAAACAAAAACATTTGCCTGAGCTAAACAGGTTTAGAACATTATATTTTTGGTGTGATTCCATAAAATTGTATCATTTTATATAGGTGGATAATGATTACATGTTACTCTTTTGTATAGCTGAGAGAGTACTTACATTAAACTGTACCTTCTTTTCCAAAAGTCCACTAATAGGCATCATATATAGGCCAGGCATGGTTCCTCATGCCTGTAATCCTAGCACTTTGGGAGGCCAGGGTTGGCAGATTACTTGAGGTCAGGAGTTCTAGACCAGCCTGGCCAACATGGTGAAACCCCGCCTCTACTAAAAATACAAAAATTACCCAGAAATTGCTGGAACTCGGGAGGCGCAGGTTGCAGTGAGCCAAAACTGTGTCACTGCACTCCAGCCTGGGCAACAGAGTGAGACTCCGTCTCAAAACTCCGTCTCAAAAACTCCGTCTCAAAACAAAAAGGCATCATATAAACTCTTACCAAGATTAACAAAACTTGATAAATTTGTCATTTTGGAGAAGTTTAGCGTTTTTATTTCATATACTTGATAAACTGAGACTCAGCACATTCTTTGGACATTATATAACATCATCAATATTTGAATCTAGGTATAGAACTGTCTTGGTGGCTTGGTATCTTGTGCCCTGCCATTAGAAAGCACAGTCCATTTAACAGCTCATTTTGCACCTGCCCTGGATTTATGCAGTCTGATTCATAGTTTCAGGAAGCTATCCAGTCCATAAAAGGATTTGGAATTGATAGTCTCTTCACGTATTTAAAGTTATTCTTTGGTAATATTCAAGTTGATAATATTCATGTTTTAATTTACACAATGAAAGTCTTTCATATGTATCAAGTATACCAAGGTGAGTTGCAAATCCCTGAATCTTAAGTCATGATTTTTATTGTGCCAAAATTCTTGCTCATTGTAAAGGAAGAAGTGAACACATAAAGCTGCTATTATTACAGTTATTTGAATGGAGAGAGTGACATAACTAGAAGTAATAGCTTCTCAGGAGTGCCCAAATGTATGAACTAAGATGTAGTAATATAAAAAAAACAAGGTGATCAAAAGGAGTTTCATTTCATGAAGGCTAGATGAACTGCAAGTATATCTAGAAAAGAAAGTGATCACTCAAATCAGTTTAAAAAGAAAGGAATGGTCATCATGGAGAATTTGTCTTTATAGGTTAATTCTTTTGGACATTAGTAACTTAAAATATATGGAGGCTTGGCATGAAGGTCAAAGATGGCATGTTAAATCTTCAGGGAACACACATTTACACTAAAAAACACTTCTGTAACATTGTTTCAATCAACATTTCTGAACTTATTTGACCAGGGCATAGTTTTTATATATGCATAATACTGACATGTCTGTGGACGAGGCTTTTGGACTAGATGAGATACAGAAGTGTCTAAAAAGATGCTAAGTAAGGACTGACTCTGTCCTATGCTCATTGAGCTGCTAATCTGAGAGCTATCAGAATATTACTTATATAAGAGAGTGTCTTTTATGCAAGTAAACAATTGTAAATGGTGATCTGAGGATCATAATTCCTGGAGGCTTCAGTCTTATCAATTCTAAATAGAGATCAGGGGATAAGGTGAGATTTTTTCCTGATGGAACTAGTTAACACATTCCTTTTGAGAGAGAAGTTCCTCTGCTGTGAGTCCCGTTACAACCTCTTCTGGGATAGGGGTGTGAAAAGGCTACTTTCTGACACCTGACATATGGGAAACACTTGAAACAAATTCATTTAAGGATCTTTGAAATAAGCTCACATAGTTGGGAGACATGGATCTGGGCTCTGAATAATATCTGAAAACATGTAAATAGTCTGCGAACGCCGGAGTCTGACTATCGTCAAGGAAGGCTAGATACACTCTCCTCATTGGTTTGGACGAGAAGGAAGAGGAGTGCTAACAGATTGTCTAGGAGAAGGATGCATGAGTACTTCTCTGTGGACTACATCTGAACCATATAGGAGGGCCAGCATTGCATCTTGGGTCCTGCCCAAGAGTGACTCCTACCAGAATTTTACCTAAATAAAAAGATAATAATTTAGCCAAAACTCAGAGGATAAATCATCAAAGAAGATGCATATCACTCATCCACTATGTAAAGCCATGCTATAAGATTAAATTGAAATTTAAACATACACTTTTCACAAAAAGTACAATTTTTAAAACTAACATAATGTCCTTAAGACCTATCCTGGATTATACTGACTAAAAAATGAGTACAGAACTTTATAACTAAACTTCTTGATGGAACTTGGTTTCTAGACCTAAAAATTTATTCTTTTAAATAAAAAAATTAGGGGTGGTGGTGGGTGCCTGTAATACCAACTACCTGGGAAATTGAGGCAGGAGAATCACTTGAACCCCGTTGGCAGAAGTTGTAGTAAGCTGAGATCACACCACTGCACTCCAGCCTGGGTGATAGAGACTCCATTTCAAAACAAAAATTATATTCTTTTAATCAGCTGTTCCCAATTACATTGCTCCAAGTGTCAGTAAATACCAAAGGGTTATACTAGTTTTCTTGTCCTCTATCAAGCACTTATAAGATCAAGAACTTCATGACTTGAATTATTACAAACATCACAACATCTTTGCATATAAATATCTATGATTCCATAAGTGAATACATTGAGTTTCCAAGTTAAAGTTGGCTAATATAGGAAATTTAAAAACATAAACTTTGTGAATTTATTTAATATGCAATAAAATGCTAATCACTGCAATCCTGGAAGTTGAAGATTTGTTTTCTTATTGAGAAAATGTATAGCAATGATGCAGACCAAAAAAAAAAAAAAAAAAAAAAAATGTGTGAAAGGGACATTTTTATTAAAAGCAACATAAAATGAAAGAAAAACAACAGTGTAAGAGAAACATCAGATATAACATGATATAGTCTTATCTTAAATCTCCATAAAATTAGCCCAAATTCCTTTACGTATATAATTCTTAAATTCACCATTGTATACAGTCTCTTGTTCCTTACTATGTTGTTATTTCTAATTCATTGGGAGACTATTTAAAAATGAACCTCAAAGCAATTTTTGTGGTTTATCTTTTCATTACTTCAGTAATAAAATGCCAGCTTGCTCACTGTAATAGCTGGTGGCAGTGCAATTATATTCAAGGGAAATATCTAGGTTTCCATTTTACTATTGTGTGATTATAGTGTTGAAAACTTCTAAATACAGCAGTAACTAAAAACTTCTTTGGCGTATTGAAAATAATTCTGAGACTAAGTTGTTGTCATTCACCAAGAGAAATATTCTAGAACCATTGCAATCATTACTTTCAGAAATGCTCTTTGGCAAGGTGCATGACTCTGTCAGGATCAATAAAGCCCCTACATTACACATTGTTCCATTAATTTAAAATATTCTTATTTATCGCTCAGAAAGCTACTGATGTTTGGTCAAGAATATTAGTACGGTCCAAATGCCCTATATTTAGCCCTAGCCAAAGAAATTCTTCATGTGAAAAAAAAAAAAAACTCCAATGAACAAATCATTGCCTATATTTACTTTTTCTCTCTCTTTTGAGAAAAGTTTAGAGCAGCAATCATTTTAATTAGCACACTGAGCATAAGAATGCATCATAGCAGTTGTTATATCCAGTTTTAAGACTGGAGAGTGTGGCGACTTATCTAGATATACGGGTAATATATGCTTAGCTAAGCATATGGATTGTAATATAAATTATGATTATAGGTGAGGGGTGTACAGAGGGACATGTACAATAGCTGCCTGTCTCCACTTAATCAACTAACATTTTTCTAACACATACGAGAGGTTTATTTTAACTATTGAAATATGATAAGAAAATGAGCCATGATAACATATTCTATCAGCTTTTTACATTTTGAAATACGTAACTATTTTTTTCTGTAGCTGCAAAGTCACATTTTAAAAAATATTATTCAAAAGACAAATGAGAAACAAAAGATATGATAACTATCTTGAAGCAACCTCAAAATATCAAAGAAGATTGTGTGTTTTTACTTTAAACATTTTATCTCTCCTTTTTTTTTTTTTTTTTTTTTAATAGAGGAGATAGTGTAGTTATCTTGAACACAATTCAATCTACTGGTTCAGGTTAGCTGGTTAAAGACATTGGAGATAAATAAAACAAATTACCTTCTCTTGATACTGCCGCCTCGAAGAATCCAGAGACTGGATTAAAGCAGTGGCATGGCCGACAAACATGGCATAGCAGGTGGCCCCGACGATCATGCTCAGCATGGTAATCCAGAGGTCAGACATGCTGACTGGGGCTTGGGCTCCATACCCAATGCACAGCATGTGACTCATAGCTTTGAAGAGTGCGTATGAATACTGCTTTCCCCAAGAATCATTCTGGAACATAACAGAAAAAGAAAATTGACTGAGCCATTAGGATGGCAGAATGAAAAGTGAGAATGATCTGTACACAGAAGCATGATAAAATACTGAATATTGGAATAATCCTTACAATGGAGCATTTACAAATGTACTTCTCATTAATTGTGAATTAAATGATGGTGTTTTTCAAATATTTCCTACTATGATGAAGTGGAAACAGTCTGCTGTTACTTACATGCACTCTTTGTCAGTTTTAAGTTTGCTGTTTTTAAAACTAAAATTCCTTTTGGGACAATGGTATGCCATGTAATAACGCCAAGAATGAATGCTTTAAGGTTTCCAGGAAATGTGGTCAAATAGTATTAATAATATATTTGTAAGCTATGAAATGCAGCAGACAGTATGACACATATAGGCCAAAGTATAGACATTTTTATCAAAACCATGAAGTTCAGATTTTAAAAATCCATACTGATATAGCTTAATACTATAGTTTTTCTAAATAAAAATTTAAACAAATATATATTGGAAATACAGATCTGATAGGTAAATGGAAAGACTTCCTTGAAGCCTTCACTCAAAGTGACATACATTGTAATTTGTGTCAGGATTGAAGATGGCTGAATCTTGTTGGTTTTTTATAAAATAATAAAATGAAATAGGCAAAAGAACATCTTGGCTTATGTCCTGGGGAAAAAAAAACAGGAAATGCTGACTTCTGAGATTACTTATTAGTTGTAACGTCTGATGTCATTTCAAAACAATTGCAAGCTCAATTTTTTAAAAATGCTGTTCAATGTATCTTATCTAACTTTTGTTAAAATTTAAATTATTTTTTGGATAAATTTTATTGAACTCCCTAATTCAAATATTACACAATTTATAAGAGCCAGAGCAAAATGAAAATGAGGGGGGTCTATTTCAAAGTGCAGGAAAAAAAATATTGTTAAATATAATAAAATATAAAGATTTTTCCTTTAAAACTATTTTATTATTTATAAAACCTAATGTGATAACAGTGATAAATAAGTAACAATATAAACTTACAAATTTTAAAAATTAATATTTTAATGTCATAATTACATGTCATATAATAAATAATACTGTATTAATGTGATATTTTGATCATAAAATTTTTCTGGCTTTTCTGAAATTCATTTCTTAGATTATCAAAATTTATATAATTATCAACTTCATTTTCAGTGATTTCATTGACAATTACATCAGTTGCTCTTGGCTATTGCAAGATTACAAATAATTTTAAGTATTTTTAAATTTAAAAATGATCTTTCTATTAATTCAAATGTTATTAAACCTATTAGGGATATTTTATAGGCTGTGAGATTAGGGTCAACTTCTGATAATTTATTTAAAAATATATATTTGAGTACATTTGGAGCTGATGATTTTCATAGAACAACTTTTCAATAAATATTTAACTCATCATGCCAATCAGTTTCATACCAATTTCACATAGAATTCAGTTTTTACATCTGAATTTATTTTTTTAATTAAATTTTTTACTTTTAGGTAATTATAGATTTACATGTAAGTTATAAGAAATAATAGAGAGAGATTCTATGTACTCTTCTCCCAGTTTCCCCAGAGGTAACATGCTGCAAACTATAGTATAGTTTCATAGCCAGGAAATTGACATTGGTATAATGTACTCATCTCATTTATAGCTCACTAATTTAAGTGTACTAATTTGTATGCCTATGTGTGTGTATATTTATTTCTATGCAATTTTGTCACATGTGTAGGTTCATGTATTTATTACAACAGTAAAGACAGAACAATTCCATCACAAGGGTCACATATACTGCCTTTTATTGAATGGAGTGTTAAATTTAAATGTATGCAATGATGTTTTAGTGTTTCTTCTGATATTTCCTGTAACTTGTCAAGGCTGTGCAAAAAACTGAAAGTAGTTTCAAGATTTGCATATAATTCAAAATGCCTGTTTATATATTGTATTGCTATATTTTTAGTTACAAAGAAAGTTTAATTTAAAAAATTATCTTCCTTGTTAATAATTGATTTAATTTAAAACTTCATATAAAAATAGTGTTATTTTCCATCAAATGCGAGCCTTCAATCTAATTTGTATTTCTAAGTTTATGGACATCTGCTGTGCAATTTTGCAGCAGCTTTCAAAACTGGACATTGTAAACGCTGAAGAATTCTAATGACTTTCTAAAGTGCTTACTGCTGTGCCCATGTGTAACATTTATTTTGTAATAATTTATTTACAAGGTTTACTGCCTGAGTGCCATGGGTATTGTCTTGGAATTTAGGTGGGAGATTTAAAATTAAAATAGATACTACAGGGATAGTCCCTTGGGACTGATCAGCCAGCTGTCTACTTACTATGGGTGTTCTCCCTGCCTGCATGGGTAGCCACTTTCATCTCCCACGACTGCCTTTGTTGCTGCTGCTTCTCCTGCTGCTACAGATAGTCACTCCTAATCTGGGCCTAGTCCTGGTTCGGCCACATCAGCGACACATAGCATCCAGACTGCTGAGTCATGCATATGCTGCCTTGCTGCTAGGCCAATTGCACGTCTCCTGTGCCTACAGGCTTGAATCTGTGTGTGTGCTGCTGCCATCCTGCAGTTCTGCTGCTCATGTTCACACCCTATTGTCCCAGTGGACTTCACTTACAAAACATCAGTTCAAAGATAAAATTATTAAGAGTTTCAAGACGGCAGGAGCAGAACATTAAACCAAGCACAGGGTTCTTTTGACAGTGAGGGACCCTGTGCAACTTCAAGGTCACATATCAATGAAGCCAAACCTTCATTTGTCAAATTAACTCTTAACTTATCATAAACTTTTCAAACTATTTTGTTTTGAATACATATGGATAGTTTTGTTTGTTGTTAATGGGACTTTCCAACATCAAACTTGTGGATTTAAAAAATAGAACAGAAGATTTAAAAGCCTAGTCTTATAAACCTTGGAACTGCACATAGCTGCTAAAAAATCAATAAAATAACTAACCCCATTTAGCTGAAAGGATTAAGGTTCTTAAAGTGAAATTCGCTGTTAATTAATTATAATAAAAGTCCTGCTCGTATTAAACTATAGACTCTATAAATGTATTTGCATGCAAATAAAAAATAAAATTTAATTTTAACACAAGAAAATTACTCATATGTCATAATATTTTAATATGTACAAAGTATAATAAACTCATACAAAAACTCTTATTTTGGAGATTGAGCAAACTTATACTTTTTTATAAGTGAAAATGTATAATACTCAGAAATACATCTAAGATTTCCAAAATTCTAGATGGTCCATGAACAAGAAATGGTATATTTACATTTACTAAAATGTAAAATCTAATTTAAGATTTCCTTTCTCCACTTAAGGGCACAGAAGAGGTATATTGTTAAAGCATCTTGATGTATTTAGATAAAATGGAAATAATAAAAAGTTCAATGGGGTGTCAAGTGGAGACTACACTTTAATTATATTGGTATTGTTTATTTCTCTGTGTATGAATGGAGGCAGGGTATGGAGCTGGAAAAGAAAGTTTAATACAGTTTTTCAAAATAATGCAGGTATGTCTATTTTCATTTATCTCACTAGAGACACAAAATACACACCTGCATATACATGCTGTTAAGTAACTTGAAATATATATTAAAAATGCTTTTTTTTTTTTTTTGAGATGGAGTTTCGCTCTTGTTGCTCAGGCTGGAGTGCAATGACGCGATCTCAGCACACTGCAACCTCCGCCTCCCGGGTTCAAGGGATTCTTTTGCCTCAGCCTCCCGAGTAGCTGAGATTAGTGCCACCATGCCCAGGTAATTTTTGTATTTCTAGTAGAGACGGCATTTCACCATGTTGTTTATACTGGTCTTGAACTCCTCGAACTCAAATTCCATCACCTCAGACGATCCACCTGCCTTGGCCTCCTAAAGTGCTGGGATTACAGGCATGAGCCACTGTGCCCAGCCTAAAAATGCTTTCTTAATTTTCAAAATCATGAGCAACTTTTCTATTTCCCATTTTTCCCATGTTTCCATTTCTCTCTCTCCACCTATATTTCCTGAAAATCAGGTATGGATTCTGTACCTTTCTCCATGCTCATATGATCACACACACACATGCACATACACACATCCACGATTCTGGCTTTTTTCCCCACAAAAATGAATCTTATTATATATGCTCTTATTGTTGTTATCACATATAAAATGCCTCCAAATAATCTGTTGTTCATATAACTATGCAATAGTTTGTTGCTCATACCATAGTTAAATCAATTTACCCATTGTTCTCCAGCTTTTGCCACTACAAGCTATTCTTTAATAAAAAAACTTTATCCATGTATCTTTTCTTTTTATCAATAAGACTCCCAAGAGTGTGATTATTGGTTCAAAGAGTAAGATCTTCAGTTTGATTTTAAAATATATTGCCAGATTGATTCAAAAGACAGTACCTTTTCCAAAACAATGTGTAAAAATATACTGTATCACCTTATACAGCGAGAAATAATAACACATTGTTAGTTTTATTAGCATTTCCCTAGCAAAAGAATTTGAGAAGGCATTCATGTATTTATTTACCAAATGGACTTGCTCATCTCTAATGAATTTTTTTCCTTATTAATTTGCAATGCCTCCTTGAAGACTGGATATCACCCTTTTAACTGATATGTGCTATAAATATTTATTCCTAATTTATCATTTGCCCATTGACCTTCCAATCATAGAATTTTTCATATAAATATTTCAATTAGTTTATGTAGGAAAATTAAATCTGTAATTTCCTTGGCAGCTGCTGGACTTCTCATGATGATTCAAGAGGTATCTCTAAATAAGATTATTCCTATGTCCTGAATGCTTTTTCAGATTATTTTATTTTTTATATTTACTTATACTTACATGTGTTACCTAGAGAAAGGTTTCTTTTTGTATATAGAAAAGTTCACATTTCCTTTATTCTAAATAAATGGATTGTCTTTTTTGCCAGTATATAACTTTTAATAAATCACCAGGTCT